GGCAAATTCTCAGTGTCTCTACCATTGGGTTTCCAAACAGATAGACATGAAGACCACAATCCAGCTGTGTGGCCCACGGCAAGTACCCTGCACCTGCCTACATGTCATGTTCTCTATCTAGAAAATGGGTCCAAGCAGAGTGCACACCCCCTAGGCATCAGGGCTAAATGAGGGGTGATCTCTGGAAAGCATGTGCACTGTACCACATGACATCGGTGATACCCTCCAAAAGAATCTCCGTTGCGGTAAGGACAGGAGCTGGGGTGAAAGCGGGAGAAGCGGACCCTGCCCAGGGTCGAATCCAATGAACTCACCAAGCTTCACACTCACTGGAAATGACTGTGTCCTCTCTGTGGAGAGGGACGGGTGGCCTAGGGAATGCGAGGGTCACTCATCGCTGCGTCTCTGCAGTTCCCAAGTTGATTGGCATACAGCAGATGGGGGGTCTAAATCTATGTCACACTGAACAGAATTAGTTCTGTATTTATAAGGCCCAACTCCTCTGTGCTACTAGACTCTTAAGTTCTTCCAGAGTGATGGCCAGACTGTGTGTTGCACTAATGAAAACGCAGGAAATGACAGAGAAATTCCAAACCAAGAAGCAGGTTGCTTCCACTCACCTCACTCATGCCAGCTGTGCAACCTGGGAAAGTCGCTTCACCAGTTCTGGGGCTTCTTTCCCCCCACCTGAGGGATGTGACGTTTGGATGACAGATTTACACTCTGAAATCGGCCTCTGGGAACATCATGGCAGACCTATGGCTTTGTTACCCCCATTCCAGACCCCTCTAAGAAACAGTCCACCAGCTCACCACACACCACCTACTAGCATATGCCAAAGAAACCAGATGTAGATACAAAGTTGAATTTGGCCTTTAGTGTGGAGGTCTTGAGATGTTTGGGTTTGTTGCCAGTATTGGGGCTTGAACTCAAGGCCTGAGTACTGTCCCTGAGCTTGTACACTCAAGAGCCATACCTCGACTTCCAGCTTATTGGTGGTTAATTGGAAATAACAGTCTCATGGACTTTGCTGCCTGGGCTGGCTTCAAACCAGGATCCTCAGATCTCAGCCTCCTGAATAGCTAGGATTACAGGCATGAGCCACCAGTGCTTGGCTAACATTGAGTTTTGATCTGGGTTGTTGTTGTTGGCAATGCTTTGTAGAGCCTGAAGGTCCGAGGAATTTGGCACTGAGGGCTCATGCATGCTGTATGATGACCCGGAGGCTCACCCCAGCGCTCTGCCCACAAAGGTTGTGCAATAAATGAAGCCTGAATTGCAGGCTTTAGAAACATATTCAGATCCTATCTAGCCTGATTGTCTCACCCCCCCCCCATGCATGTGCCTCCCTAATTAATCTAGCATTTTAATTACCCTAAAAAGTTGATTATTTCCCCTACCCTCTCTGCACAATCTAAGGCTAATTGCCCAATGCATCCTGCTTTTGGAATGGCCTTAAAAATCTAAATAAAACCAGCCAGGTGCAGAGAGCTTATGCCTGTAATCCTAGTTACACAGGAGGCTGAGATCTGAGGGTCACAGTTCAAAGCCAACCTGGGCAGGAATGTCTGCAAGACTCTTATTGTATGATGACCCAAAAGTAGAGCTGTGGATCAAGCGATAGAGTTCTAGCCTTGAGCGAAAAAGCTCAGGGACCCTGAGTTCAAGCCTCACAACAGGCACAAAGAAAAAAATCTAAATAAAACCCTAAGTAAGGTAAGAAAGAAAACCTTCTGGAAAAGAAAAACTAAAATGGCTCGTTTCCACTTCAGGGGATTTATATGGATAATTTTATTCACCTCTCATAAGTCCAAGAAGCTGATGAGGAAACTGAGGCTTTAACATTACACAGTTAGCTAAAGTCACAGAGCAACTGGCACATTACAAAGGATCTACATGCAACTCAGGGCTCTTAGCTCAGAGTATGAGCCTGACAATCTCCAGAGACTTGGAGTCCCCATCTCATGGGCATGCTGACACAGTGGTGGTGAGTTCCTGTTTAGGGATGAAGCAAGGAGAAGCGTGGAGTAGACAGAGGACCGGACCAGCTGACTCGCAGCTCTGGCCTCTACAACCGTCCTCACAACTGTACTCCATGGAACAAGGAAGGTGACACAGTACCACAGGACAGGGCTAGCTGACTAAGGAAGCCTTTTCCCAGATGTGCAACTCCAAGCCACAGCATTCTCATCTCAAAAACAAAACAGTCTCTTCTGAACGAGAAGAGAATTCTCTCTGCTTTCAACAGGGATGCGGCCTTCCCAACATTTCGGGCAGCACCTGACTCACACTGGCAAAGCAGAGCAGACCCCTCCGTTCCTCCTGAGAGATGCCGAAAAGGTTGGTACCAATATAAGCCGTAAAACATCACAGTCACCCTACCCCAAGATGCAGCAGGCAGGGATTGAGACCTTACCCAATGGTAGAGTCTCATGGATCCCTGGAACCAGAACTCTATGCTTAGACTGTAGATGAAAAATATATTATTTTTATTATTATTATTATTATTTGCTTCTCTTGACAGTCTGAGTCACCAGGTACTGCATGGGCAGGAACAACTTGTTGACCTGTTTTGTTTTTTTGTGGTTGTTTCATTTGTGTGTGTGTGTGTGTGTGTGTGTGTGTGTATGTGTGTGTGTGTGTGTGTATTTTCTGTTCAGCCAGACACAAGGAATTTTCCATCTGACAATTCTTGTTTCTCACTTAAGTTTTTCTACCATCTGTGAGCAGTGTGCTCAGCGAGGGAGGACTCAGAGCCAAGGAGGACGAACGTACAGCCTCCTTCCAAACCTCAGTTTACCATCTGTTAAGCGCAAGGTGTTCAATGGAGAGGGACTCTACCGTTAGCTCTCAAGGAGAAAATCTTGCAGGCAAGTGAAGCCATTTGGGGATGGCCAGATTCTGGGCTTGGATCTGCTTCCAGTTTCAAAATCTTTACACAGGTTTTTTATTTTATTTTATTAGTAAAATGTGAAATTTAGCTGAAATCAATAGCACAATGGAAAAGCAGAGCGGACGCTGGTTGCAGCGGAGAAGTGAGTCTATAGCGTTCTCAGGGCGCCCCCTAGTGGCAATAGGGATAAATCCTGGAGGAATGTTCACCATGTCTACCAATAAAGAGCCAGACACCCACCAAAAGAGAAAGGCAGGCTCCTGCCTACTGATGCCTTTCAGACTAACCCAGCCTGTGGACCAGACAGCGAGAAGGACGCCTGACAGGAAGCCACAGAGAAGCTCAGGAAGTCGTCTACTATTAAATAACAGGGTCTCCTCTTTCCGGTGTGCTCCCAGCTTTTCCTTAGATATCGGGGTCCCTCCACAGATAGCAGACACACCCTGTGCACGTTCGCACCTCCTCAACCTGCTCCACAAAAACCGCATCTGCTTTTCATTATCCAGCTTTCCAACTTCCCAGCGCGATTCTTCAACAGCTATTGAGACACGATGAGCAAGGAGCTCGGCTTAGTTTCTGCTTATTCAACATTCAGCCTGGGTTATCTCACCTCAGAAGAAAAGCATGAATGAAGTGCGCGTTTCCCAGCCACTTCCACAAACCCAAAAGCGCATTCTCTCATTAAAGGGCATCCCCGCTTTAGGATTTTTAATCTATAAAAACAACACCTGCACAGCGAATTTCTCAACTTGTGTGCCATCAAATTTGTTTCCTACAGAGGAAGCTAAAATTATTAATAATAATAGAGTACCAAGCCCCTAAATTTCCCAGTAATTAATAACATACCTAAGTTGCAGAGGTAAAGTTTTGCCTGAACCCAGAGAATCAAGGATGAGAAATGGAGGTGGGGAATCCAGTTACTGGATAATTAGGGGGTTGAACTTTGCTGACTGGTACCCATTTTTTTTTTCATCCACAGAACTGTCCCTGCACAAATGCACAAGAAAAATGTCAACTCCAGCATTTCATCTGACAGTTCTTCTGCCTGTTCCTGTAGCCATGTATTGGACTTTATAAGTAATCCTGGGCCCTGCCACACACCCCTACCCACAAAGGTCACCTAAGAAGCCTCATGAGGAATATCCTGACTTGGGCCCTGCCTCGATTAAAATACATCTGATCTGCTTTAAGTCAAAGAACCATGTTAATTTTCTGCCACACAACCACACAAAATGTTTCTGCCAGTCAGTCACTTTGAACCAAACTCTCTAGCCACAAGCTGCATGGATTTCAAGGCCTTGCTCTGCAGAAAAGGAACATGACAACAAATCAAGGAGGCTGGGACAATGCAGACCCCCAGGCCCTCTGTAGAGCCTGGCAGCAGCCAGAACCCGAGCCCGGCCATCCATGTCAATCTTCCCACCAGCCACCGTGTGCAAACTGTCACAATCCTCAGACACAGCGAAGGTGGCTATGGATTTTGCTCCCTAACCCTCTAGAGGAGTTCAAAACAGGCAGAAGTCCGGCCATCCTTGCAGGAAAGAGTCAGCAGCCTGGGGGAGGACCGGGCCACGGGAGTTGGAGGATGCAGAAAGAGGGATGGATGGGAGCGCAGTGGGGAGACAGGACCGGAGGCTGAGCGGAGGAGGTGTAGCTTTGGGGGGAGGTGTAGGGGGATGGGGAAGAGCTGCACAAATAGACATTTCAGATCACGCTGTAAATGTGCGCCCCGTGCAAGCCCTCCCCCCCCCCCCCCATCCCAAAGCTGGAAATGTTTGCAAATCCTAAATCCTACTTTACTGCCGGAATAAAAGGTATGGGGGGGGGGGAGAGAGAAACCCCAAAATATGTGCAGACAGGATGTAACAAGTGTTTCAGGAGAGACATGCCTGAGTCACGGGGAGCGATGCGGGAAGAGTGGGGTGTCTGGGGGGGGGCACCTCGGGAAACCTCTCCATCAGAGAGACCCTAAGGCGCACGGATTTCCCGGTGCCACACGCCCTGGATCCCCGGTGCCGCTAGCCGGGGTGCGTGTGTGTGCGCGCGAGCGCGCGCGTGTGTCCCCACCCCACCCCCCAACACCTCCCGGGGAAACTTCCCCACTTACCACTCGGCCCGAGAACCTCTCGGTGGCCCTCTTGACTTTGCCGTAGGTGCCTTTGCCCAGCGTCTCCTGCAGCTCGTAGCGGTGTTTCAAATTGTGCTTGTGATGGTGTCGCTTCACCCCGTGTGGCTTTCTGGGCTCCGCCACCGCCGCCGCCGCCACGGGAGCTGCAGCTGCCCCGGCCATCGCCTCCGGCGGAGAGCCCGGCGCCCCCAGCCCCAAGTCGGGGCCGTCGGCCGCCGCGGGCGCAGCGGGGTCCCCTTCCATGTCCAACCGTGGGGGGCGAGCCGGCCGGGGAAGGGCGGGAGTGGGCACGGGGGGTGGAGGAGGGAGGTGTCGGGATGGATTCCCCCCCAGCGGAGGGGAAGCGGCGCGGGGCGGGGGCTCACGGTCTCCCCCGCAGCATTGGCCGCGGCCCGGGTCCCTGGCGGCGTCGGGCACCGCACGGGGCGCGCGGGACGGGCGCACCGCCCCCCGGCCGGGCGAGCGCGGAGCGGCGGGCTGGGCTGCGCGGCGGCGGCGCTGGCGGCGGCGGCGGCGGCCGGGGAGGCGGCGGTGTTTGCCCGAGGGAGGGGAGAGGGTGGCTCCGAGGGGGAGTGTTTTGTGGGGCGCCGCGCCCCTCCTCGCCCGCCCACCACCCCTCCCGCGGAGGCGGGCGCAGGGCGGGCGCGCGGCGGGCGGGGCGATCGCGGGGTCCGGGGCGGAGGGGGGGCGCGGCCTAGGCCTCCCCACCTCCCACCTCCCCGCCCACCCCTCCCCAGCCGGGACGGAGTGGGAAGGGGGAGGGGTGGGGTGCTGCGGGTCGCCCCCGGGCCTTTGTGCGACTGGGTGTAGGCCGCGGCCACCGCGATCCCAGGGCTTTGTCCTGGCCGAGGCCTTCGGTGGGCGCCGGGCGGGGGGGGGGGGGGACGGGGGACGGGAGAGGGGGGACCCCTCCCTCCGCCCGGGCGCCCCTTCCCCGGCCGCTCACCCGCCTCCGCCGCTCCCGCGGGCCGCGGCTGCAACCGCCGCCTCCGGCTCCCGCCCGGCCGGGCCTCGGTCCCTGCTCGCGCCGCCGGGGCGGTGGCGGCGGCGCCCGGAGCCCCGCGGCCTGCGAGCCCCGAGCGCCCCGAGCCGGGCCCCGCCGGGGCTCGGCCCCGGGGGTCGGCACGAACCCCGACCCGACGCCCTTTCATTTTCTCCTCGGTGTGGCCGCGGCCTGGAGAGCCCCCCCCCGCCCCCCGCCGCAGCTGGGGGAGCCGGGGGAGGCTGGGGGAACGGAGGGCGCCCGGTGTTGGGTTACAGGCGGTGAGTCACGGGTCCCCCCACCCCCCAGCGCCCGCCATCCGAGGCTGGCACCCCCCCCCCCCCGCCCGGGCCCGCCAGCCTCCCCCACCTCCGGGCCGGGCTGAGCGATTCTGGGGTAGGAGAAGGAAGGCAGGCGCGGTGGGGGTACACCGAAGATGGGGGACGGGGTGCAGAAGATGGAGGGTGGAGGAGGCCGAAGAAGGTCCCCGGACCTGCGGCCTACCCAGCAGGTGCAACCGGGGAGCCTGGGAGGCCTCCCGGGCCTCTGCCAGCCCCTAGGCCAAGCAAAAGGTGAGTTTTAGAGGCCTCTTGTTCCCCCGTTGGGCCCTGGGAGCTTCCCCTGACCGGGAGAGTTGCTCCCCCATCACCAGCTGAGGGTCCACAAGAAGGACCTCCGAAACACAAAACAGCTCTTGGGATTATTTTTTTCTGTAATAGGGCAGGATACCAGGCTGGGATAGGAAGAGGCAAGTCTGAAGCCCCCGTCCGCCATGATCTCCCTGACCCTGGATTCTCCCACCCTGTCCAGGAACCGGCCGGATAGGCCAGGCCTCGCGCATGGCTCTCTGCTACACTCCAGCTTGCTATTCTTTTAAATCTGTCCAAACTCTTTCTCTTGACATAGCTCCTCTGCCCCCCTTCCTACATTCCCTAGAAGCAATTCCAGGAGGCAGACTCAAAGGCCCTGTTTATTCCCATCTGTTCTGCCCACCAGCCCTTGCAGGACTCCCCTGCCCGCAGCCTGCAACTGCATTGTGCCTTCTACACACAACCGCGTAGACTCGTGTTTGTAGGTCCCACAGTTAAATGAGTTGGGGTGTAGGTTGCTTCCCCAACCCCCTGTAGGTTGGCTGTATGACTTTAGGTAAGAGACTTAACCTCTGCCAGCATCTATTTCCTGTTCTTCAAATAGAGATTCGTGGATGTATGTGTGGTGTTTTTCTGCTTCTCACCATCCCCTGAGAGGTGGCAGAAATCTCCTACCCCACTGGCTGAAGGTTAGATGTGGCTATGGGATGAGAGTAGAAGTGATGTATGTCTCTTCTCTTCCGTGTGGAAACTTGGAATGGTGAGCAAGCAGACTTTCCTCTTCACATCTTAACCAGCAAGACAGAGAGTGCAGAGTCAGGGCCAACCCGGACCTCTAGGTCACGGTGGAGGAAGGTTCTCAAGTTAGCTTCCAGGCGAACTATTGCTAAGCTTTTGTTGTGTTAAACCAGCAAGGTTATAGGTATTTGTTACAGCAGCATAACCCAGCTTACTCTAGCTACATGTGTTATTCCCAAATGCATTAGGACTTAATCCTTATCTGTTGTATGGACAGTAAATGCTAGAAGACATTTTGAACAACAAACTTTGTCCTGTAAGGTAGCCATTATAACCCCTATCTTCAGTTGAGGAAATTGTATTGGAAAAGTTAAGTCCTATAGTTGAGATGACCCAGCAGGTAAACAGCATCAGGGTTTAAACCATACCTGTCTGAGTCTAAAACACCTGCTCTCCTCACGTGCCACGCCACCTCTCCTTAAATGGGAAGGATGCAAAGCACAGTACAATGCCTGGCACACAGCCATGCCCAACCCTGGGAAGTACCTGTAGCCTGAATTCCTGGAGCATTTATAACTTGAACCACCTGTCAGCACGATGTTATGGCACATTGTGTGTGTGAGTGTGCGTGTGTGTGTGTGTGTGTGTGTGTGTGTGTGTGCTTGCAGGGAGAGAGCATTTCCTCCAGCCAGAACCAAGGCTTAAGCGTGTAAGGTCTAGAGTCAGAAAAACAGAGCTCAAGTCCCTGACCTATCACTTACCATGACTGTTCCAGACAGTTCTGTTCCCCTCTGTCCTCTTGGGTTCTCGCATCTGTGAAAGAGTGATAACCTTTGTGTATGATCCACAAGGTTGGTGTGAGGCCTACGACATCTAATAGATGCTCAATAAGTCACAGTCATTGATGTTATACTTCTTGTTGTACCATGGCTCCTGGAATTGTGACTGATTTTAAGCAGTTTAGTGACATAGCTTGCTTAGCCTCTGATTTCTGGTTTTTGTGCAGGATACTGAGTAGGTAGATAGGACACATGGCCCAAAAGTGCCCTGCTTCTTAAGTACCCATGAGTTCACTACTATCTTTTATCGTACTTGGGATTTTCAAAGCAATTTAAAAGAAAGGGGACATGTTGTTTCTAGGGACATCTTGGCTTCAATGATCACGTATCTATTGTCTACCTATAATGGACTGTGATCAACATGAAGCTACAAAGTGAGTGTTGGCAGGACCATTAAACCACCCAATAAGATGCCTCATTGGGCAAACGTGAATGGCCAAGTCTCTGACCTCTACTCGAAGCTGCCTGTAGGCACAGCTCATGTGAGCCTGTGCTACCACGATGCTGTTCATCAGCTCGGCTAGACAAGGCTTGACAAATGCCCTAAGGTTGTGATATTTCTAACTCGAACAAGTCAGTGGAGAGCTCACTTTAAACCACAACCTAAGAGCATGTGTATTCTTCTCCATGTGAGAAAACAGCTGATGGTCCCCCCAAAGTCCGTCTTCCTGTGTCCACAGAGGAGAGTGTAGATTGGCCTAGATGTATGTCCCAGCCTCCTTTGCAGCCCAGGGGGTCACATGACTCATTCTTGCTAATGGAATGTTAGTGTACTCCTGAGTTTTGTTGTCTGCAGGTAGTGTTTAAGAAATGGAGGTACCTTTTTTTCTACTTGGTTCAGCTGAAAAAACAAGTCTTTTAAGACCCCAGGGGATACTGAAATCCCAAGAGAAAAGAAGTTTGGCGGGCCTCCGTCACCTTGAGGAATAATGCTACTCTCTAACTGGAATATTGGACTCGTACAAGAAAGACGAACTTCTATTGTGTCAAATCCTTGAAATCACTACAGTTTAGACATTACTGCAGCTAGAAGTGCCCTTACTAATGCGTACACTTTACACTAAGTTTATATTTATGCATAAAAAATGAGACAACTGTAACAACTACATGATCATTAGAACCAAGAAAATAGTAATAATTCATTCATATTCTCTATCTGCTTGTTTCAAGAAAACAGCAGAAGCTGGTTTGGTTGCATACGCCTCTTAGTCCCAGCACTCAGAAGGGAGAGGCAGGAGAGTTTTGAGTTCAAGGCCTAGGCTATACGAATAGGTATTGAGTTCAAGGACAGAATCTAAAGATATGTATTGGAAGGAAGAAAAAGAGGGAGGGAGGGGAAAAAGGAAGGGAAGGAGGGCAAAAAGAAGGGAAGGGGAAGGAGGAGAAAGAAAAACTGTAGAATAGGGTCTTTTCATATTTTTTTATTGTTACATGTACCAAAATATCAAATAAGAATTTCAACAACAGAATTTCATGCAGCAGAATGAAATGGATTCACCCAGCAATATCAACTTCCTAATACACGCTAAGCATGGGGAGCTGAGGACATGCCAGGATTCTCTGTGCAGGGCAGGAGTACCGCTCCAAGCTGCCATTCTAAGGAAAGATGCACAAGTACCAGCAGTCCTCTGACCTCCAGCCTCCAAACTTAGGCAAACCCAGGCTATTGGAAGGTGGAATTGATACAAATGAAGCTTTATTCCCAATCCAAAGTAACACCTGTGTTTCTTCCCCAGCTAGTGTCTAGAGAGAGAGACAATAAGAATAGTGACTGAGCACCTAGGCTCCAGAACCAAAAACAACCAAGTTCAAATCCCACCCCTACCACCTTCTGGCTGGGTGGTCTTGGAAAACTCATATTATTTCTCAGTTTTGCCATTTTAAAACGGGAATATCAATAACCCGTACTCCAACAGGTGGTTTCTGTTGTTTTTGCTGCTCTGTTATTTGTGTGTGTGCTGAACCTGGGGCTTGAACTCAGGCCCTGAGCTCTGTCTCTGAGCATATTTTTTGCTCGAGGCTAGTGCTTTACCTCTTTACCTCCATTTCTGGAATTTTTTTTCTATTTGGTAGTTAATTGGAGATAAAAGTCTC